GATTGTGCTCGGAAAAAAAGGGACATCTACTACGACGACGAGGTTTTTCACGCAGATCTTGGCGCATTCTTAAAAGCCACGCTCAAGTTGGTTCGTCGGCAGGTGAACTCCGATCGTACTGAGTACCTGGAAGGCATTGCTCGGCAGATGGATGGGTTCGCCGCCAGCGGGGACACGCACAACGAGTGGCGATTGATGAAAGTGTTGCTCCGATATGGAGGCAGAGCTGGGAGGTCAGGGCGCTACCCTATGCTTCAAGGACGCGGTGGTGCCTTGGCTACGTCGACGGATGAAGCAGACAAGATAGTACTGGACCACTTCGCTGCCATCGAGGATGCTGTTGTCATGGATGCATCGCAACTGGCACAAGGGTACAATGCTCGCCTCCATCATTCCCCTGAGGAGGTAGACTTGGATTCCCAGTTGGTCATTTCGCGAACCCAGGTCGCTAGCCTTTTCTCGCAGGTGAAGCGGCGGAAGGCTGCTGGCCGAGACGGTGTACGAGGCGACATACTCCGTGGTTTTCCTGCTGAACTGGCTCGGTTGTATCACCCTGTTTTTCTCAAAGCAAGTGTCTACCAACAGGAGCCTTTGTGCTGGAAACACGGGACGGTCTACCCACTTTTCAAAGGATCGGGTAACTTTGCGTCACTCGAGTTCTATCGCAGTATTCTTCTCAACAGCACAGTCAGCAAATGCTGGCATCGGTTTTTGAGGTCACAGGTCAGTGTGTATATGGATACCTTGCTTCGTGAGACTCAGTGTGGAGGAAGGCCTAGGCGGGGCCCTTCCGTTCTGGTGCAGACAGCTTCGACCTTCTTGAAGGCAGCGCAGCAGCAGGGATGTGGAGCGGTGCTATACTTTGTGGATCTGACGGCTGCGTTCTACTCGGTGGTCCGCAGCTTGGTACTTCCGCTGGGGGACGACGTGGACGGGGACATCGATTTCGTTGAGCACAATCACGAGCTTCCTATCAGCATGGCCCCGCTCTTCTCCTTCATACTGCACCAACCTGGTGCTTTGGAAGGACTAGGGGCTTCTCCGCACATGCTCGCGCTGTTGGTTGAAGGCCACCGTGACACACACTTTGGCACGGACAGCTTGCAGTTAGTGGCGAGATCTCGGCGCGGTTCTCGACCAGGATCGTCACTGGCCGACACGATTTTCAATGCTGCTTTCTGCCGCCCTCTCAAGGTAGTCGATCAGGCGCTTAGACGACTCGGGGCCTCACTGAAGTTGCGACCCTTGGGCATACAGCCAATGCTTTCGAGACAAGTTGAAGCAGAGGACCTTGTTGATATTTCCTTTGTAGATGATGCGCTGTACTTGCAAGCGCCACCGCCTTCGATCAACCCGTTGGACCTGGCGGGCGACATGGTTGATTGTGTTCACGAAGCAATGCTTACGCACGGCTTCACAGTTAACTACAAGCGCGCGAAGTCGGCCTTATTTATCATTCCTGGACCACAACATGATACTGATTTGCGACAGAAGTTGGAAGCCAGTGACAATTTATCGATTATATCGCCACGCTATGGTCTCAAAGTCTCGGTGGTACGCAACTACAAGTACTTGGGCACTATGCTAGACCACCGGGGTCTTCTTGGGCCGCGTGCCGCACATTCTATTAGCAAGCAAGTTTCTGCTCTCGGACCTATCCGCCGAATGTGCTCGAGGTTCAGCCACATGTCACTGCCCGCGAAGACGAACCTGGTTGATACGATGGCCAACGTCCACCTGATGTACTTAGTGGAGGTTTGGGAACATGCTCCAAGTACGCTGCTGCACAAGGTGGATGGACACCGACTGCTAGCATATCGGGCTGTCCAGGGCCGACTACACAGCGGCCACTCTCAGCGTTTCACCGACGACGAGGTACTTTCGGCAGCCAGAAGGGTAAGGTTCGAGCATCTTATGCGGAAGAAGCGGTTGGTCTACTTCGGATCACTGCTACCTCAGGCTCCCCAGGCCTTGTGGTGTCTACTTGATCAAGTTGCTTCGCTTGCTGGCTCCTGGCTCTCATTAGTTACGTCTGATCTAGAATGGTTGGCGAGTTTCGACAAGGAAGGTTCAAGACACGATTGGTCGCTTCCGCGTTGGTTCCAGTTTGCATCGTCGCATCCGAAGGATTTTCGTAATGCAGTCAAGCGTGCGTGGGGACTCTTCGAAGCGTCGGAGCTGGAGCGGCTGCAGGTATGTTGTTGGGGCCGACTACTGAAGGGAGCTCGTGTTGGCATCGACGCCCAGATCTCTCACGAGGACAAGTTTGTGTGCTACGAGTGCGGTTGGTGTACAATATCGAAGGGTGCTTGGAGGAAACATCAGTTAGATCACCAGCCGATAGACCTCGCGCAACGAGTGGCTCGTGGTACGCAGTGCGGTGCCTGCGGTACACGATTCGGGGACCGCTCGAATCTCCTACGCCACCTACGTCGAACAGGTAATCGCTGTGTTCGTTGGCTCGAGTTGAATGGAGACATGTTGATGCCCGCTGAAGCAGAACAGTTGCGACAAGAGGATTTAGTTCGCGAAAGAGATTTGATACACCGTGGTTACAATTATCGACGAGTCTTCAAGCATGCGGTGAGGACTGTACATGGAGGAGGTCAAGGAGATCCGTATTACCCAGTCTCACCGCCAGCAGTGAGGATCGAGGTTCGGCCCCCAGTCCCACCTCTGAGGCGATTGAGAGTCGCGTGCTGCTACCCGATGAAGGTCTACTATCTTGGTGGCTGGGATGTGACGGCAATTGATGTGTGCACTTGGTTGCAGCAGCTCTTGGGTCAGTCGGTGCAAATGGTGCGTATACCTTTATTCGGCGACGATGGCGAACGCACCCTTCTGGCTCAGAAGTCAATAGATGAGATTGTGGACGATATGTGTCAGGGCAGGGTCCTGGCAATCGTACTGGCTCCGTCGCTGGCATCATGGACTCAGTTTGATGGGCAGCCTGGTGTTTCACGTCCCCGAAGATCGGTTGACCATCCCTGGGGCCTACCTCAGCTTGGTGAAGATGCACGTCGGACAGTTTTAATCGAGAACAACTACTTGCGATCAAGTTGGAGGTTGCTGGAGGCTGCATCGTTCACAGGGGTGCCAGCGGCTTTTATTTCCCCCTCTGGTTTAATGTCTAATATTATGAGTGCCGTAGACTTGATTGCCTCTTCGATTGGGAAGTATTTGGAAGAATGTCGCATTGATTTGTGCATGATGGGCTCCTCTGCGCTTGGGGCAGTCACGCTGATTACTGCGCACATGTACTTGGAGCTGGAGCTGAGTGGTCATTATTCCAGATATCGTTGTGATCATCATGCTCATGCAGCTGTTTCTGAGGACGGCACTGGTGAATGGCCAGTAGGTCTCTCGCGCGTGCTTGCTCGGGCGCTGGCGCATGCTAGCATTCCTGTGCTGGCTGCTTCAGCGGCCTGTCGGACAGCGGCGACTTGAGTTCTTACCTCCTCTTGATGGCGATGGTGGCGATCGATTCGTTGTCTTGTCCCCTCGTCAATCCTTTGGCGGTCAAATGCTTGGGGCACGAGGCAGTGGGCGGTGAGCCCTACCGCCGCCCTCCCTCGTCTTAGCCCTCCGACCATGAGCGCTACGTTCTCGTTTTTGGAAGGTCGGCTACCCGAGCAGGGATGACAGCCCATGACTTGCTCGACTGGCACTGTTTCTGCTGCGAGCTCGGCGACCTCATTTCAGGGTCTTTTTCGCTGAGTCTCGAGGCGCCTGGTAGGGGGTGTGGAGGTTCTTCGTGGACTGGAGGCTGGTGGAGGTGGAGGAATCGTATCGCCACCCCCTTGGAGGCCCCTCGTGTACGAAGGCCTTACTCGTGTTCTGCGCTACCAAGGAGTAGGTGGACTATCGAGGGGCCGACCAAGGGGGGGGGCCGTGTGGCCTTCTGCAGGGGACGGGGAGGGCACGGGCGGCGCAAGTGGTAAGGCGGGTGAAACAAACCGTCGAGCGCCACCCCAAGCCTCCCCGTCCCCCAATTCGTGCTGAGCTCACTCGTCGTCCTGGCGGCGTGCCACCAGGGGCGAGCCTTGTCCTCTCCTCCTCACAGCATTCATGTACCTCACCTTGCTCTTCTTCTCTCGCGCGCTGCCGTTCGAGAGCCTTGCCAGGAGGGTGCCCTCCACACTGTGCAGGTGCCTTGCTTGCCACCGAGTGCTTGGCCTGGCTGCCTCCCGTATGTTCGGGGAGGGGGCGCCAGGCCAGGCGCTCACTGACGCTACAGGCGGAGGACCGCCTCGGAGCTCGGCTAAGAAAAGGGAGGGACGGAACGAGGGATGCAGAGGAGGGGGGGAGAACCAAAAGGAATACCCCAGGGCCGGCTCGTCATTCTCGGTCGTTTTTTGACGTCCCTGGGGCCCAGGCCCCGTCCGAAAACGGTCAGAAACTGCCCGTCGTGCTTCTCTCGCCACGCAACTGTAGGGGGGGGGGAACTGGCATATGGAGCAAACATCCACCTGGAGTCGGCGATACATCGCCGATAGATTGGCGAAAGGCCCTCGATAGCGAATTCGCACGTCCCTGGATGGGGTGGGGCTATCAGACCCCACTCGGCGATCACTGGGCGATTGGGGGTCGATGCATGTCCCCCCCTATGCCTATAGTTGGACCTTGGACAGACGAACATCCTTCAAGAACATGAGACCCTCCGCCGGCCAAAATGAAGAGCACGCGAGGGTATCCTCCCCCAGGATGCACAAGAACATCCAACAAACACGAAGAGCGCTAGGGCACCCTCCCCGAACCGACCTCGACCTTATGCCTCGGTCCGACTGTAATTATCCCCCCCTATCGTCGCCCCTGACGGGGAGGTCTGGAGGGGCCCGCCGCTCTCGTCGGCGGCTCCCGCCCCCTTCTGCCCGCCGCCCCCCCCCCCAGCCGACGCGCCCCGCGGCGGCCCACGCGCCCCCCCGCGTATAAGGGAAGGGGGGACAGAGACGGCGCGACAGCGCGCGCGCGGAGAGAGCGCGCAGGAGAGGCGGGCCCGCCTGGCCCGCTGGCTGGGCGTCCCGCGCGGACTTCAGTCCCTGGTCGGGGGCCGGCGGGTGCGAGGGAGCCCCCTGCCTCTCCGGCGACGAAAGAACGACGCGCTCCATCGGCCTGGTGGCCGTCCCAAGATCGGGCCAGGCGAAAGGTGGGGATAGCAAAGGGGGGGTTTGAGAATCAGCTCGCGTAGCTGATTTTCCCGGCGCCTCCCGGCGCCAGAGGCGGCTATGTATCGAGGAATGGGCCCCTCGGTGAGGCCGAAACCAGCTGCATGCAGCAAATTTCGTAACCCCCCCTTTTCCAATCCCCCCGTTTCGTCCGGCCCGACAAGACGGGTGGCACGGTGGCGCCTCGGCGCCCTCAGTTCTGGTACTTACTCGACGGTTGATTTCAGCCAGCGCTTGCACTGCCCACTATGCCGCCGGACACGGCTCTCTGGTTCCCAGTTGAAAGAAACCTGTGCCCACGACTCGCTGTCGGTGCGCATGCGGCCCACCTCTCATGGGACGCGCAAGCTGGAGGCGCACGCTCGCCCCGAACATGTGGTACAAAGTCTTGCAGCACGTCGCTTCCCGAGCGGTACGGCCAGAAGACGCCCGCCACAGGTGTCATTCCCCTCGCAGTACTTGCACTCAATGGTTCTTGCTCCTCTTCTACAGTGGGGCCTCGGCCACAAGAAACCTCCGCAAGAAACCCAACCCTGAAATCCGCGATTTGTTTACCCAAGTTTGTCGATCGGAAATCATCCAGGTCTTATTGGGGACCCATCGAAGTCCAAGAAACCCAGGGCACCCTGGCAAAATCCAACTGGTTTCTTGGCACGCGCCCCCACTGTAGGGGACTGGGTCTGCGGGCCGCTCCGCCGCCGTGCAGCAGTCGTCGCCGCCTCGCCGCCGCCCGTGGCCAGGGCCTGCGGGCCGCTCTGGCCGCCATGTCACCGCAGTCACCGCCTCGGTCGCCGCCCGTCGCTTCGTCGCCGCCCGCTTTGCGTTGCCTCGCGTTGCTTCGCATCGCTTGGTGTTGCTTTGCGTTGCTCTGCGTTGCTTTGCATTGCTGCGCGTTGCTGCGTGTTGCTGTGCATTGTTGTTATTTGCGTTGCATCGCATTGCATTGCATTGATTTGCATTGTTTCCGTTGTGTTGCGTTGCACTGCTTTGCATCTGAAATGCTTGCTTCTCATTTCTAGAAAAAATAGGTTCTACCACCCTCCCCCTCCTGGGTTAAAGACCCCCTGGGAACCTATGCAAAACACATAAAATTCTGACCCAATGTCCATCGTACCTGTAAATTCACACTATCCCAGCCACACCGGTATCGCCCCCCCACAGTCCTCTGCAGCACATACTATGCGAGCACAATCGTATATCACAAATCATAAATGTTCAAACATCCTTTTCAAAAAATGCGACGAAGCGCACACGGGCGCGTCGTCGCGCGTGCATGCCGACATCCTTCAAAAACCTTCGGTTTCGGAAGGATTTCAAAAATCGAGTGCCCAAAAACACACACACAAGGTTTCGCAACACGTATGTTCAACAACAACGTGAGTACGCGCTCTCGCGTCGTCGTCGTCGTCGCCGTCCCTCTTCCCTCGTCGTCGTCGTCGCCGTCGTCGTCCTCTGTCTTTCCTCGTCGCCGTCGTGGTCGTCGTCCTCTTTGGCGTCGTCGTCGTTTCCGTCGTCGTTGTCGCCGTGGTCGTCCTTCCTCCTCCGTTGTCGTCGTCGTCGTCCGTCGTCGGCGTCTCGTCGTCGTCCTTCCTATTTCGTCGCCGTCGTCGTCGTCGTCGTCGTCGCCGTCTTCCCTCCTCCCTCGTCGTTGTCGTCGTCGGCGCCGCCGCCCTCCCTCCTTCTCCGGCGTTCGCGTCGTCGCCGTCCTCCCTCCTTCCTCGTCGTTGTCGTCGTTGTCGCCGTCGTCGTCCTCCCTCCTCCCTCGTCGTCGTCGTCGTCTTCGTTGGCGACGTCGTCGTCGTTTTCGTTGTCGTCGTCGTCGTCGGCGTCGTCGTCGTCGTCGTGAGCGTCGTCGTCGTCCGCGTCGTCGTCGTTGGCGTTGTCATCATCGTCGTCGTCGTCGTCGGCGTCGGCGTCGTCGTCGTCGGTGTCGTCGTCGTCGTCGTCGTCGTTGTCGTCGTCGTCGAAATCGTTGGAGACGCCGTCGGTGTCGTCGTGGTCGTTGTCGGCTGCGTCGTCGTCGTCGTTATCGCTGCCGTCGTCGGCGTCGGTGTCGTTGCCAAGTGCCATGTGGTACCTACCGTCACGGTCTTAAGAGGTATTGCGACCAAGTTGCGGGTGAGAGGGTGGGATGTTTGCACGAGCAGTGGAGAGGACAGCTTCAAATTGAGTAGGTGATTGGCATGGGCCACATAGCTTACACAACGTATATTTTCTTCTCTTAAATTAAATTCTACCCCCGATCACCCCCCCGGGGTTATCCGCCACGCGTTTCGATTGGAAATTCGCATATGACCATGATCCTCCGTACATTTTCCCTGTGAACTCATACCAGCCCACGACCCCCCCTCGATGCGCGCACACTCGTTCATCAAAAAACATAAGTGTTCAAGAATCCCTTGCAACAAAAACTGCACACGCGCGCGTCGTCGCGCGCGCATGCCGATATCCTTCAGAAACCTTCGGCTTCGGAAGGATTGCAAGGTAGACATCTCCAAAAAAACATACAAACACAACGGGTTTCGCAACACTGATTTTCAAGAAGAAAAAATGCGCGCGCGCTCTCGCGAATGCGTTATCTTTCATATAAAACCCTTAGGTGCTTCAATGTGTTCAGGAAATGCTGCCAAACGGGCTTCGGGCGCATGTGAGCGGCGCGCATGTGAGCGGTGCGCCGTGGGTGCGGCGGGCGCATGCGAACGCAGCCACTGGGGCCATCGTTGGAACGCCCTTCGGGGCCACGGAACGTGTGAGCGGTGTGCCGTTGGGGGGGGCGGGGCAGCGAACGCAGCCATTTGGGCCTTCGGCGGAGCTCCCTATGGAGCCACGAAGCGTGTGAGGAGTGTGCCGAAATGGGTGCGGCGGGCACATGCGAACGCAGCCCCTGGGACTGGGACCTTCAGTGGAGCTCCTTATGAGACCACGAAACATGTCAGGGGTGTGCCGAAATGAGTGAGGCTGGCGAAGTTGGCGCGGCGGGCGCATGCGAACGCAGCCACTGCGGCCTTCGGTGGAGCTCCCTGTGGGGCCACGAAAACGTGAGGGATGTGCCGAAATGGGTGCGGCGGGCACATGCGAACGCAGCCACTGCGGCCTTCGGTGGAGCCCCCATATAGTGCCACGAAAACGTGAGGGATGTGCCGAAATGGGTGCGGCGGGCATATGCGAACGCAGCCACTGCGGCCTTCGGTGGAGCCCCCATATAGTGCCACCAAACGTGTGAGTGGTGTGCCGACATGGGCGCGGCGGGCACATGCGAACACAGCCACTGGGGCCTTCGGTGGAGCTCCCTATGGGGCTTGCCGGAAGCCGTTCGAACGATCTGGTCACCCCCAGGACGCTCTCGGCGAGGCGCAGCTGCTGGAGAGCATCCCGAGGCTGGAAAAGTGGCCAAAACAACAAGAACATCCGAACAAATCTCGATCGGGAACGTCCGGAAGGAGGGGGCGCAAATCATGGCCCGCAGCACGTGCGCGGCCCAGGCCAGGGGGGGCGGGGACGCACTGGAACAAGAAGAGGCGCCATGAAATCTGGGGAGGCGTCATGGCCCCCTGGTCATCACCCCCCTCCTTGGCCGCCCCCGAACCTAACCTCGGACCTGTCATGAACGACTACCCCAAACACGACGGGGCGTGGGGGCTCGTCCATGGGGAGGCGAGAAGGCACCGATACAGCTGCTCCCCGGACCTCTCCCTGGGTGCGCTCTGACCAGCATTTCGACGCGAATGCAGCGCTGGCGACGAGGGCCTCCCAGGAGGCCCAAGAAGACGAACTCGAGCCCGAGGGCAGCGGCATGGGCACCTCTCGAGCCTTTCGATGAGGGCTCCACAGCGCGCGGGGGCGCGCCGTAGCCCTGAGCATGGGCACCTGTTCATCCTCCGAGTCCAGCGGGGGCGCGGTTCGGCCTCGCCGTCCGCGGCCTCCTTCGCCTCGGCGGCCGCCGCGACCTTCTGGAGGCGCCGCCGCTCGGCGGCCTCGGCGGCCTCGGCCTGCTGGAGAGGCTCGGCGGAGGCAGGAGGGGCGGATCAGGGCGAAGCCACTCTGACATCCCCCCGGTCCGACCAGATCATGACGGCGCAGTCAGCCCGTATAATGAGGACGCACGAGTCAGATGAGAGGGCCTTGGAAGGCCATGCCGACACTTTGCGAGCTGGTCGCGGCCATTAAAAGCGGCCCAGGATGGGCCGAAGGGGCAGGATGCAAGAGCAACCTCGGAAAGTCGCTCATCCGTAATATTCTGGTTGACAGTAGGTGATTGCTCCTTTTCGGCCTCTTGGGGCCTTCACGGGGAGCCGGCCGTGAAGAAACGACTCGGGATGCGAAGCCGGTCCCGGGGAAGGGGTCCAGACCTGAGGGGAGCCACTCTGTGAAATAATCACGGGGCGCTGCTCCACGCGCCTCAAAGGCGGGGACGGCAAGCGATTACAACAACATCGAAGACACACTCTAGGGGATGTCTTGCGCATACCAAACATAATCGGAACAGTAAAATCAGTTTCGTACTGGTTGTGGTCGATGTGTCGTCCCAGGACAGCCAAATCGACCACAACCACAACCAGAACGCTCATGCCGAGGTCGGTGGGTACTTCCCCCCGGTCCTCCAGAAAAGTCCGCCCAATTGTGAGTGTGATTCTGTGTTGTGCCCAAATTGATGCACGTTTGCGCTTCCTCGAACACGGGGGAACCATAAGGTACAGATACCGCTATTCCTGGGGAGCGCTGTGACCAGGATTTCGACGCGAGTCCAAGTGGTGGCGACAGGGGTCTTCCAGGAGGCCCAAAAAAGAGGAAAACGCGGCAAGGGTAGCGGTATAAGACGAGGCCAGGACCGAGACTAACTCGGACTGTGACAGTCGAGATTTTGAAAATCGGCAGTCCTGGGAGATGCAGCGGGCGCCGTGGCCGTTCTCGGAGCGGTCTCGGGGCAGTCAGAAGGTACGTAGCACCGCGCAGCTGCGGATAAGAGTGATAGGGCGGGCGCGGGGTGGGTCGCGGGTGGGTCGCGGTGTGGGTCGCGGGGTGGGTCGCGAACGGGTCGCGGGGAGGGTCGCGGGGAGGTTCGCGGGTGGGTCGCGGGCGAGGAAGACGACGACGACAATCATTTTAAGACTGTTCGCTCCTATCTGCTCGCGTGTCATTTAACACATATATCTTAAACGCTCGGTACCCGCTCTCTTCGTTTTCCATGGTACCCCATTTGGGGTACATCTTCCTTATCTGCCACGTGGATTTAGCGCAGCCCCTGGAAACGGCGGAAGGGAGGACGGATGGAAGGGGGAGGGAGAAGGATTGAGCACGAGAGAAAGTAGCAGGAGAGGGGCTGGGAACAGAAAACTCGCGGCAGAACCAAACGGGCAGATTGGGCGGGCACACTCTAGCGGGCGGGTCCGGAAGGCGGGCCCAGGCGGCCAGGTCGAGCAGGCGGGGTGCTGAAGCGTGAGTCCTGCATGAATCGCGGGGAAGTCTCGAACAACAGCGCGATTCCCAAGTAACTCGTGAGAAAGGCCACAGCGAGAGCATAATTCCTGGGTGTCGGGGGCGCGGCGACTGAAGAAAGTGCAAGGAAGTCCGACGCGAGAGCGCGGTTCCTGCATAATGTGTGAAGAAAATTGCGCGAGAGCGCGAGTTTGGAATCCATTGTAAGGCAATATCAGGAGGGAGCCGTTGTTGTTCTAGTTCGGGTCCTAACAACGCAGTTTCAGCACGAAGATTGTCCTGCTTCTTTTTTGAACAGGGTGTGAACCCCGACGCACTTCAGGGGGGACCAACAATAATTGCTCAATAATGAAAGTTCAACAAGAACAATAACATCAACAACACCACCAATAACAACAACAAAAACAACACCAACAACACTATGTTTCAGACTGTTCGCCCTTATCTGCTCGCGTGCCATTCAACACATACATGCCAAACCCTCGATACCCGCCCTCTTCGTCTTTGACCGTGCCCCCTTTGCAGCGCGTATTTCGTGCAGCCCCGAAGGCAGGGGAGACGGATGGAAGGAAGGGACCAGGGGGAGGGAGGAGGAGGAAACACGACAAATAATATCAAGAGGGGGTCTGGGACCAGAAAGCACGTAGCAGAACCAAACGGGCAGATCGGGCGGGTAGACCCTACCAGGCGGGTCGGGAAGGCAGGCCCGGGCGGCCAGGAAGAGCAGGCGGGATGCTGAAGCGTGATCACGAGGAAGTCTCCAGCGATAGCGCGATTTCCACGAAAACCGTGAGATAAACCAAAGCGAGAGCGTGATTCCTGAGTGTCGAGGGCGCGGCGTCTGAATAAAATTGTGAGACAGTACCACGCAGCGCGAGCCCCTGGCAAGGCACTTTAATTGAAAAACACAATGTCCACTGTGTGCACCGGAGGGGGGATCAACCTAAAATTAAGAATTCACCACTTGCAACAACAACAGGAACAACAACATAAACATAAACAGCAACAACACCACTACCACCACCACCAACAACAAGCATGTTAAGACTGTTCACTCTTGTCAGCTCGAATATCATTCGACGTGTATTTCCCAAACCCTCGATACCCGCACTCTTCGTCGTCGATCGTACCCCTGTTGGGGGGTACACACGACTTCCCTGCAGCCCGGTTCCCGGCAAATGGCGGGGCGGACGCGGACCGTCGGCTTGGCCAGCGGCAGCGTTGATCGGTGGCGACCCGACCCCAAGAGGGACGGACAGGGGACCGACCACGACGACGACGACAACAACGACGACGGCGACGACGAGCGAAAGCGAGAGCGACAGCAGGGCCACGAAGGACAGCGAGAGACCACGAATGGCGACAGCGAGAACACGAAGGGCATACGTATGGAGCCACGACGGGCGCGAACGAGCGGGGGCCACGAAGGGCAGATAATGCCGGGCCACAGAAGGGCAGCGACGAGGCCACTGAGGGTAGCGGGTAGCAACGGGGCCACGTAGGACAGCGAGGGGGCCACGTAGGGCGACAGCGGGGCCGCGAAGGGCATGCATATGGGGCCACGACGGGCGCGAACGAACGGGGGCCACCGAAACCAGCAACGGGGCCACGAAGGGCAACGAGGGGGCCACGAAGGGCTGCAAGGGGCGACATAGGGCAGCGAGGGGGCCACGAAGGGCTGCAACGGGGCCACGAAGGGCAGCGATATCCCGATTCCTCAATAAGCTACAAGGGAGTCCCAGGCATGACCGCGACTCCTGGGTGCCTGAGTGTCGGGAGCACGGCGCTTAAGTATGCATATGGGGCCACGGCGGGCACGAACGAACGTGGGCCACGAAGGGCACACACACATATATATATATATATATAGAGAGAGAGAGAGAGAGAGAGAGAGAGAGAGAGAGAGAGAGAGAGAGAGAGAGAGAGAGCCACGAAGGGCAACAGCGGGGCCACCGAAGGCAGCAACGGGGCCAGGAAGGGCAGCGAAGGGGCCACGCAGGGGCCACGACGGGCTGCAACGGGGCTAGGAAGCGCAGCGAGGGGACAACGAAGGGCTGCGAGAGGGCCACAACAGGCAGCGAGGGGGCCACGAAGGGCTGCAACGGAGGCGCGAAGGACAGCGAGGGGGCAACGAAGGGCAGCGAGGCGGCCATGAAGGGCTGCAACGGGGCCACGAAGGGCAGCGAGGGGGCACGAAGGGTTGCAACGGGTCCACGAAGGGCGGCGAGGGGGCTACGAAGGGATGCGACGGAGCCACGAAGGGCAGCGAGATCGCGATTCCCAAATGAACGGTGCGGGAGTCCTAAAGCGTGAGCGCGACTCCTGGGTGCCTGAATATCGAGAACGCGGCGATTGAGCAAACACAATTCCGAAATAAAGCGTAAAGAAATGCCAAACGAGAGCGCGACTCCTGAGCAACATGCGAGGAAGTCTCGGGCGGGAGCGGGGGTCCAGGCTAATCTGCGAGGGCGTCTTAGGCGGGAGCCGTTGTTGTCGTAATCTGGGGGCCAACAGCCGAGTTGAAGCCCTGTGATTAAAAAAGGTGCGAATCCCGGGGAAGCACTTCACCAAGGACAACAACAACAGCAACAACGGCAACGGCAGAAGCAACAACGGCAGCAACAGCAACAACAATAGCACTACCACCACCAACACTAACACGAACACCAACAATACCAATAACAATAACACGAACACGAGCACCAACACGAGCACTACCACTAACGCTTACGCTAACGAGCACCAGCACTAGCACGAAAGCTAACGCTAACACTAACACGAACCACTAACGCGAACCACAACAACAACATCAACAACAACCACACCAACACCAGCAACAACAGCAACAACAACAACAATGACAACGCCAGCAGCAACAACAACCGCAACAAGAACACCAACACCAACACCAACACGAACGCGAACACTTAAACTAACACGCGCACGCCGAACACCAACACTAACAACATCTGCAACTACAACAACGACATCAACAGTAATCAGTTTAAGACTGTGAGTGACCTTCCACGTGTATTTCACAAACCTTCGTTACCAGCCCTCTTCGTTTTCGATCGTGCCCCGCTTTGGGGGTATGTCTTTCTTCCCTGCAGGCCGGGCCCGGGCAAGAGGCGGGGCGGCCGCGCTCCGTCGGTCTGGCCAGCGGCAGCGCTGATCGGCAGCAGCTCGACCTCTCGAGGGGCGGACAAGGGACCGACCACGACGACGACGACGACGACGACGACGACGACGACGACGACAGAGACGGCGACGGCGACGAGCGAAAGCGAGAGCGAAAGCTTGCCAAGCAGAGCCCCCCCAAGGAGCCGCGACGATTTCAAAATGGAGAAAATGTCCCACACGTTGCTTTCCTCAAGCTGGACCGCGGGGAATCATCATGGAACGCCCGCACGCCATCGAATCGCCGCGGGCCGCCTGCCCCCGCCAAAGAATCGCGCCGGGCGAGCCGCGGAGGCGCGACCAACGCGGCCCCCGAGCCAGGCCGCCGCGTGACCGCCATGGAACTCGTCGCCGCGATGACGCTTCATTCCGCAAT